TTACTATCCTGTCTTCTGTCGACCTCTCCTCGTGCCAGGACCCTCCCAGAATGTCTGAATCATGAAGCCTATGGGTGTCTTCCCATGAGTGCAGAGTGGAATGGAGTATACCACCTTTCTTCCCTGTCTTCTGGAAGCTGCTCATGGATGCACTAGCCATTCTGGGTAGCCCTTCACCCATGACTTCACACATTTGGAATTATCTTACTGTCTGAACGACATGTGGCCAAGCGCAGTCATCTTTCATGTGTCTTTTTTTTTTTTTAAGATTTTATTTATTTATTTATGAGAGACAGAACGAGAGAGAGAGAGAGAGAGAGAAGGAGAGGGGGCCGGGCAGAGACACAGGCAGAAGGAGAAGCAGGCTTCATGCAGGGAACCTGACATGGGACTCGATCCCTGGTCTTCAGGATCAGGCCCTGGGCTGAAGGAGGCTCTAAACCGCTGAGCCACCGGGGCTGCCCTCATGTGTCTTTTTATGTCATCTTCCTAATACAGCTTGTTCTTGGTTTACCTGGTTCCTACTTTTGGACCATTTCTTCCCATCTCTTCCAGTGTCCTCTTTTTTGCCCAACCCTGCTGTTAGGATCCCGTGACCATCCCTGGCCCTCTTGTCTCCTTCTACACATGCTCCTTGGATGAGCTCAGCCATTCTTGGCTTGGATCATCTCTGTGTGCTACAGAATCCTGAATTGTAAGGTCAGCTGGATATTTCCCCTTTATTTTCAGTTACCTCCTCACATCTCTACTAGGGTTTGAATTCTTGAGGATGAGTATTTTATGTTCACAATTTGTCATCTTCTTGGGTCTGCCTCCCACCTCACTCCCCTCTGTTGGGAATCCGTTCCTTTTTGTTTTCTGTAGGTCAACCAATGGCACTGCCACCAGCACCCTTCCAAAAGGACACTGCAGCATCTGTTCCTGGCTGTCTGCGGCTCTTCCATACACCTCCCCCCTCCCTCTGCTGCCTCTCAGTCCAGTGCCTAACACTTCTGGCCGCTTTGCTGCGGGAACTTCCTGCCTTGTCTCTCTCCCCTGCACCGGCTTCCCTTCTCCATGGCTATAGTAATCTTTCTAACATCAGTTTCCATCATGTCCTCTACCAGGGGCCTCCCATTGCATGTGATGTGGGAAGCCGTGGGCTTCGTGATTTAGTTCCTACTTCCACTTTGTGTGAGTGGCGAGGCCTGCTGCAGCAAGTTCCTACCACCTCAGTAGCTTGCCACAATAGCAGTTTATTCTCTCATATTTCTGGAGGCCAGGAACTGGAAATGAAGGTGTCAGTTTGGTGGGGTCCCTCTTGGGGGCTCCGAGGGAGAACTGTGCACCCTCTTCTACATTCAGTGTTGCCTGTCTTGTAGGTATGTCACTCTGGTCTCTGCCCCTGTCTTCATGTGCCTTCTCCCCTGTGTATCTCTGTGTCTTCAGGTGGCCCTCTTAGAGGGAAACCAGTCACTGGATTAGGACCCACTCTAGTATGACCTCATTTTAACAAATTCCATCTGCAAAGACTCTGCTTCCAAACGAGCTCACATCCTGAGGTTGCTGGTGTGAGTTTTGGTGGCAGGACACCTTTCAGCCTAGTCCATCCCTCTGGCCTTAGCTCTTACTATGTCCTCACCGTGGGCTCAATCGTCTGCTTTGGTGCCCTGGATGGATGGGCATTCGCAGCGCAGAAAAGGGGATAGAATTCCATGCAGAGGAAAGAGTGTGTCCAAAGGGCCACAGAAGTGGTGCAATTTGAGTGGAGTCTTAATGTATGAATGGCATTATTGTATGTTTTTGTTGCCTCACAATACTTGAAAACATAGTTCAGATGTCACCTCTTTTGCAAAGCCTTCCCTGACCTCCCCAAGGACGCTTCTAGTCCTCAGCACTTAGTACCTGCATATTTTGCGGCCATTACTTTTACGTTTTGATTATTTATTTATTAGTGTGTATTCCCACCTGGTCTGTGTGGTCCTGGAGCCGACTCTGCATTCTGTCTGCAACCATTCTGTCTATGGCTTTGAGGGATGCTAAGGGTCTCAGACCTTGTTTGGAGTAGACAGAGCTAATGGACAAAGCCGTTCCCATCCAGTAGATGCACTCCTAAAGCTCGACAGTTTTCTTGTGTTCCTTATGTGGGCAAAAGGATCTTAAAGACTATAATTTAATGCTTTTTGGCATTCCTGTTTCAGTAGAATGATTTTAATACCACCTTGTTACAAGAGTCACTCAATCACAGTTTCACAAGAGGTTTAATAACTGTGGAGGAAACTGAGAAATGGAGAATTCACCTGCATTCCTTGCAGATCAAGGTGCGAGGTACCAACGATCAAGGTACGAGGGTATCTGAGGAGAAAGCAAACACCTAATATGTAATAGCTTCAAATACTCATTTTTCCAATTACAGTGAGCTATACCGATCTATTCATTGGTTCTAATTATTGCACCATGTAGACATATTGGAAAAAGTGTCACAGACTGTAAACAGTCACTTTTTAATCCAGAAGAACAGTTTGAGGTAAAATTCTTTAATTAAAAAAGCTTGAAACAAGAGTGACTTGTAAAGATATCCCACAGCCCTGAATTAGAAATAGAGTTCTCCGTGTAGTTTCCCCAGAAAATGCTTGGCTGTCTTGGTTATGAAAGCAGCACAGACTCCGCATCACACGGTGACATTTTTGTGCTAATGGGCCCCCTTCAGAGCAGGTGAGGGCCAAAGGCACAGTGCTTCTCACTTCCACCAACTATGAATTATGTAGCCAGAATCCATCTGATGACAGCCTGGTGTGTATTCACTGTGTAGTGGCCCTCTGCAGATTGGGCTGATTTTCAGAAACCCTATCCTAGGCCAGCACCCCATATGGAAGCAGTGGTATTGAGGATTGGGCTTTGCAGAGCTTCAGAAGCATTGGTGCTGCTGCCCTCTTTCCCGTGGTGTGGGAATCCCAAACATGGCCTCCAAGATTGTGTCAGGGAGTCTGTGAACCAGGATAGAAAAACATGTGACAGCTTGATTTTTTTTTTTAATGCATCTCTAACAAAAATTTAACATCAAAAGATATGTATTATGTAGGCAACAATCCCTAATAGGATTAGTGGTATTTGTGATTTTGTCAGGATTGCTTCACCGCTTCAAAGTTGATGTTAGACCATTTGTCGGATCCTATTAATAAACACATCTCAATTTGGTTTTTAATGTCATGATAACTATGTCAGTTATCCCTTTCTTTTGTGAACTTTTGGATACTATTTTATACATTTAAAAATACTATTCTTGGGGCTCCTGGCTGGCTTAGTCGGTAGGGTGTGGGACTCTCGATCTTGGGGTTGTGAGTTCAAGCCCCACATGGGGTGTACAGATTACTTAAAAATAAAGTCTTTAAAAAATACATCATTCTTCATGAAAAATAAGGAAAATCTGAGAAACTGTCACAGAACCAAGGAGACTAGAGAGACATGACAACTAAATGCAACAAAGTGGGAACACTGGAGAAATCCAAGTGAAAGCCTGATATTTATTTGATGATGGCTTCCTAGGCTTGGCAAGCGTACCGTGCAAATGAAATATGTTAACAATGGGAACACTACTGTCTTTGCAACTTGTCTGTATCTCTGAATTTACAGTGAGAGAGGCCCAGTGATGGGTCTGCTGTTTGCTCCCAGATGTGTGTGTTCCGTGTCCTCTCAAGGCCATGACTGTCACAACTCTGAGGAAATTGGAGAGACAAACTCAAACTTAGGGAGACGTTTTCCAGAGAAGTAAAATGATTTGCAGTGTATTATGGTGGAAAAGGCATGGCTCTGGGTTCAGAGGGCAGGCTTCACATTCCGTCCCTGGCTCCAGCTTTGGGCTCCATGGCCAGGAAGTGTTCAGGGCTTCCTCTTCTCCTTTGTGCAGTGAAGTCATCAATAAAGGCCTTACCAGGGTCGAGGCGAGATAAAGATAATGTGCCCATGCAGTACTCCATTTGTTGTTTTCAGCTGGTGTGTTGTAGTGCATTTTACACACCAGGTACCACGCTGAACATTTTGCACAAACTATCTATCTCAACTGTCATGATTCCTATATTACCCAACCGTTTCATAGGTAGGGAACCTGAGAGTCAGAGGCTCAGTGACCTAGTTCCCAAGGACGTGAAGATGAACTTAAATTCAGATCCGTGCTAACTGTAGTCCATGGTCCTCCTTTACCTTCTCTTAAGGCTGAGCCTTTCCCCATGGCCTGATGCACTTGGTTACTGGTCGCTCTTTGTTTTCTCTGACTTCAGAATCTCCTTGTGTTTGTCGGTGGACATATGTGCAACATATGTGTTGTGCTCTCCACGTGCTGTGGCCCTAGTGTGGTTGGCTTATCTGGGCCTGAGATCACTCAGCTGTAAAATGAGGGTGTTGGGTACTCCTCAGCTGTGTCCCAGCACGGAAGGTCCATTCTGTGAATTTTAACTGCTTATTCCAGCTGTTCAATGGCATGATCACTGGATCACCGAAGGCACAATTTTTCTAATTTGTTTTGGGCAAAGTTGGCATTTCTGTGTCATTTTCCCATATTCTAGAGCAAGGGGAAGAAAAGAACTCTAAGATTAGTGACCTCCTAAAACCATGGCAATTAAAATCAACCCTCCAAACCCAGCAGAGGCCACTGTGACATTTACCTACTCCTTAATTGGGATTTTATTAACGGATTGCTCTAAAGGATGTGGAAGTAATTTTATTTTTTTTTGTTTCTTTCTGTGATTATAGAGGAGCCACCATGTGTCACCATGTAGTTGCTGGTTATTTCAAATTAAAGTCTATTGAAGGGGATAAAAAAAGGTGTAGTGATGTGAAGTGCCTGGGCAGGTGAATTTAGCCTTAAATAGTTAGGAGGTGATGAGCCTCCTCAGTAAGTGACCTGAGCATGCACATTTGTCTCAAAATGAAAAAAATTGAGAGCCTCACTTGTACACTCAGGTTACTAATGTGAGGACTCTCCTGATGTGATGGATCTCCTGATTCGCTCTCTTGTTTTGCAGTTCTTCCCTTACATCCTGCTGCTGGTTGCTATCCTCCTGTACCTGCCCTCCCTGTTCTGGCGTTTTGCAGCTGCTCCTCATCTTTGCTCAGATTTGAAGTTTATCATGGAAGAACTTGACAAAGTTTACAACCGTGCAATTAAAGCTGCAAAGAGCGTGTGTGATCAGGACATGAGAGATGGTGGCAGCCCAGTTGTGGGTGTTAATGAGAACATGGGGCAAAGGTAATTCAACCCCAGCAGATATCTTGGCAGGTTTTGGGGCATGAGGTCTCAGCCCTCCTCCAGCCCACCTGGGCTTAGTGTTCACACTATAGTAGATGAGTGGGGGCTATCACCCACCTACAGATACTCTGTCAGCCAGGGAGGCCCACTCTCCCCAAATCTCACTCCCACCTGCCTGCCCCAGCACCTGTCCTCACACACAGAGGCTTTCCCACTGTCTCATGTCCTGAAAGGCAGTTGCAGCTGGGGTAACAGGTACTTGCTGGCTTTGACCTACTCCATAAATGGAGGAGAGCAGAGGATTATGGGGCCACTAAGATTGGAGAACCTCTGAGAGAGAAGTGGGAGGCAACACCTTTTCACATTATTCCTCACTCTTGTTATCAACAAGGGTCATCATATTAATAGCTCTCATTTTTTAAAATACTCTCTCCCAGAGGCTGTTTGGAGTTCTCTGGGTACATTATCTCACTTAGCCCTCAGAACGTCATTACAACTAACTGCATTTACTTACTGCCCCCTCCCCAGATAAAAACTGCCCTACAGCGATCAGTGGGAAAGCTGGAACCCAGCCCAGGTCCCTGAGCCCAAAGCCTAAGCCCTGTGCCCATTGGGCTGTCTGCCTCCCACCCCTCCTGCCTGGAGAAGGCGCATGTGTTCTAGTCAGGCTGGAAAGTCTCCTTTATTCTGCATATTGAGAAAACTATAGTTTAGAGACAGTAAAATAAGAACAGTCAACCTTTCGCATTTACCAGGTGCCAGGCATCTTAAGAATTTCCAAATCTAACTCATTTAACTGAGTTGACTCCTTTAAAATACTCAGGAGGACACTGTTCTGTGTTTGCTTTTCTTCTTCTTTTTTTTAAAAACTCGATTTTGTTCCCCACCACGCCAGTGCAGTTGCAGGTAAAGTAGGGAGGGAGGAAAGGTGGTCAGGATGCTTCGTGGGATACCGCTCTGTGCATTTACGTCTTCGATATCTGATTTCCAAAGAGTATAAATTTCTCTCATTCCTTTGTTGTTGTCAGTTTGTGGGAGATCTCCGAAAGCCACTTCAAGTACCCAGTTGTGGAGCAGTACTTAAAGACAAAGAAAAACTGTAAGACCTTGATCGTCAAGTACCTCAGCTGTCGGCTGCTGACGCTCTGCATCGTACTTTTGGCGTGCGTCTACCTGGGCTGTTACTTCAGCCTGTCCTCCGGGTCTGATGAGTTCGTTTGCAGCATCAAGACGGGGATCCTGAGGAACGACAGCACCATCCCCGCTGGCTTTCAATGCAAACTAGTCGCTGTCGGCGTCTTCCAGTTGCTCAGCCTCATCAACCTCGTGGTCTATGTTCTGCTGGCCCCCGTGGTCATCTACACACTCTTTGTTCCGTTCCGACAGAAGACAGACGTCCTCAGAGTGTATGAACTCCTGCCCACTTTTGATGTCCTGCATTTCCAGTCTGCAGGATACAGCGACCTGAGTCTCTACAACCTTTTCTTGGAGGAGAATATAAGTGAGCTCAAGTCATACAAGTGTCTGAAAGTCCTGGAAAATATTAAAAGCAGTGGCCAAGGCATTGACCCGATGGTCCTCCTGACTCACCTTGGCATGATCAAAATGGATGTCGTCGACGGCAAGAGAGTTGAACCCATGGAAATGATGGGAGAGGAGCCAGAGGACCCGATGACAGAGCTCAAAGGTAGGGTTAGCTCTCAGGGCAGAGGCTGAGGGAGCCCACAGAGCTGTCCTTTGTCAGCAAGCGGCAGTCTTGCCCCTGCCCCCTCATCACGAAGCCTTTTTCCTGTGTGGTCTTGGGTGAAACCCCTTAGTACCAGCAGACAGAGGAGAAGAATTGGTACTGCCCCAGATCTCCAAGGGAAAGTGTGTTTTCTTCAGACAGTCCTCCTTCCTTCCTTGTCTTTCTCTTGCCGTCTCTGCCTCTGGCTCAGGCATCCCTCCTTGCTCTCATTCATCCTGGTGGCTTTGTCCCTGTACCTCTGACACTCTTGCCCATTGTCCTCCATCTCTTTCAAAAGAGAGTTGGTTAATTTAGCTCTAGCCCTAACCTCACTTCACTATGCCTTGAACTTTGGCTAAGAAGTAAAACCTGGTTAAGGCAAAGAACGTTAGGCTTATAGAAGAGAAGGCAATTCATGCTGCTGGTTCCTGCTATGTGACTTTTGTCCTATTTGTTTTCCATTTTGACAGATTCAAATGTACCCAGTGAAACTAAAGTAAACAACGGAGAGAAAAATGCTCGACAGAGACTTCTGGATTCTTCTTGCTGATAATTTCTTTTCCCATTGAACTTGAGATCCGTGACTCCAGTGACATAGATTTATATTGGCCGAAGCGCTCTGTCAGGTGCCCAGCTGATTTGCAGCAGGTGGTTCTTGGTAGAGTAGAGATACTGAGTGTGCCTGATTGAGTCTCCAATGAAAATGACGACCCGCAAAACATTGTGGGAGAGTGGTTCATGAACTCCCGATGAGAAGCACCGTGATAAGTAAAGCACAGCGAGCATGTGTAAGTCCTTGTCACATGGAAAGAGGGAAGGCATCACAGTCAAAGTCCACGCCCTGTTTGTGCCTCAAGGAAACACCTTTCTGTAGAAATGGTGCAGTGGGACTCAGAGGTGCCAGTGAGGACTTCAGGAAGGGTTTATTTGTGGTATGAAAGAATATAAACATGTCAGGATCCAATTTTAATATGAATCTCCTATGTGCCCTTAATGACTGTTGCACAAGAAAAACATTCACTGGCCAGCAGTGGACTCACAGATGGACCTGCCGTTGGTGGAGCCTGTGGTGGGCAGGGGCCTGTGTTGGGGACAGTGCTGGTGTAATGGGTCTTGTTCCACCCAGGCTCTCTTTGCACTGCTGCCTGTCAGCCAAGGCTGAGATCGCCGACCACTGTTTGCTGCTCTCTGTTCCTATGGGCCGCGGCCCACGCTCTGCTTCCCCCGGAAACTTGGTGAAGACTATTGCCCCCCCGGGATATTTAATTGTGACTTCTGTACAGGCAAGGATGCTTCTCAGAGAGCCCAGTGAGGAAGCCTGGACACAAAGAACAAATTATTTAAATCAGTTTTCCAAGAGGTTTTGTGCAGGTCATTCCTTTGCTATCAAAGGAATTGAAACAGGATGTTACTTAAACAAATGAACAGAACACAGAATTGCTTTTCAAAAGGGGACATTTTGCTTATTCTGATCAGAACATGTAAATGACATCTGCCATATGGTGTGCTTGGAACCAGACCAGCTTAGTGGTTTATTTTATTTATATTTAAGCACATTTTTAAAAAATTCATTTTAATTTAGAATCGTGTGATGTCAGAATTGAAGCCATGTGGGAAGGATGTTCTAGCATTGATGGAGAATTTACAGATGGCTATGTAACACCCAAGAATTATTTCATAAACATTTAAGGCCAATTCAGAATATATAAACACCTCTCTCAGTTCTAACCATGTAAATTAGGCCCAAACTAAGTTTACATTTTATACAAAATCCTTTGAAACTTTATCTGTGGATCTCCCTGGTTTTACTCTTAGGAAGTTAACACATTACTAAAGTGAGTAATCCTCAGGAACCTCAAAGTTTACATTGGACCCTAGGGAAAGCTGTTTACCTAACCTAATTATGTTTGAAAAACAAACATTATATAAGCTGCTCAGAGTATTCTGAGAGTATTCTACTCTCTTTTTGGAATATTCACAGAAGTAGATTTAGTTGCACTTCTCTGATTGTTTCTGAGATGGAAAGTTAATGCTAAATCTTAAGGATGCAATCAGTGCTTTAAATTATTCTTATATGATATTTATTACCGTTGAATCACAGTGCGACTTAGAAGTAGCAAAACCTAAATACTCCATTTTCCTCATTTTTATATCACCATATCCAAGTGTCCATCACAGCTCTCTAGACTGGTTTCTTTTTATACTTTGAAAAGATTTCAAAGAGCTATTTTTTCTGTGGTATAGTCCAGCTCCCCGCCAGCTCCATCTTGTCTATAGGCTGACCCTAATTTGTGTTTTGAAGTAATAAAGTGGATCCATTTTTTAGGAAACCAGTAGCTCCCTAAGCCCTATCACATATAATCCTTTCATCAGAGTTGGTATAGTGGGACTCCTTGACCTCTATTCTTCTCCCCTCTTCTTCCATGCTGAGCTCCAGTAGGTTCTGGGGTGTCCCAGGCTCGTCATGCTCGTCACTGATCGTTGCATATAATGAATCAGGCTAGTTCCCGTCTTGGAGGAGTTCAGAGCCTAGTCAAAGGCAGCAGCAGGTATAAAGAAGAGTTGCCACAATAAAAACCCTTCCAGAAAACTCCCAGCAACTGCTCTGTGTTCTCGGGAGGCATCGTATTGTTCTCCTCTCTCCCATAACTTCTGTAGCTGGTGGTCTCTAGAGTCTAGTTGTAGTTTTTTCCAAAGATTTTTTAGCACCAGTCTTCCACTGTGAAACTTGAACAAAACGCTAGCGTAGTGATTTTGAGCACTAAGAGCTCTAATGGCCTTCTGGACCTTACCGTGCAGGGGAGGGGAGAGGGCAAGCCCTTGAGTGACCGTCATGGAGGTAAGAGGCTGACGGAGATCCCCAGTCCTACATGCCGGCTTGGGGAAAATTGTTATCAGAAAAGTGAACTCATCCATCTCCTGCAAGTTGCTGACTTAAAGGACTACTTCTGAGGGTTCCCTTTCCCGAGGGTAAAGAGTCATTTCATTGCTTTCCAGAAAATGGGCAGACAGATCCTAAATGCGTACACAGGGCTACTGACTTTGTTTCCAGCTCATGCCTTGCTAGTAAACCACCTGCTGGAGCTGGAACCAATCACTCTGAAAGCAGTGTCCACCTACGTGTTTGCTTTCACCACAGGACGGGCAGAGACTTCCAGCGTGTACATTGTTGGAAGTTTCGGGAAGTTACAAACCCAAAATATTTTAAAAGCTACAAACCCTTTCCTGTGATACACATATAAGACTAAATACACCTTCTGAGGCCACTGGCGTCCGCGCACCTAAGGTTCAAATGCTGTGCTCCCATGGCCAGAGACCAGGCCACAGGCAGACAGTAGAGTCCCCTGTGCCCTGTGGAAAGCCAAGGCTTCCAGTGGTGTCTCAGCTCTGTGTTTACTTAGTAAAATTATGTTTGCACACTCATAAGTGTGCCAGACCTTTTTTGAGGAGCGGATCTCATTTTTTAGAGACAGGCTGAAAAAGCGGGTTACGGGAATGGGTGGGTGGCAGTACCCTGGAGAGATCAGGCTGTTGCCAGTGACCCCTAGTATGTGGAGAGGGTGAGCGTAATGCTTCTACAGAGCTTTGTGCGACTTTATGGTGGTACTGTGAAAATGCTAGAAACTTCAGTTGGGTGGCAGGTCTTGTTGCATGTTTATGTTTGTTCCTAGAAGCTACCTGTTAACTGAGCATCCTGTCCTATCCAAGAACGAGCCAAGCTGGGATGGCTGGGCGCCTCTGGCCTTGCTCCTGTGCAAGCCCCACTCCCGGGGCAGATTATTGCAGTTCTTAATGTGTGTTTGTATTGGCTTATTTTGCTTATTGTCAGTGCCAGGTTAACAGAACATCCACGAGGGGAGTTTTTATCTACCGCTGTAGTGTAAGTGAAGACAGTGACTGGCCTGTGATAGGCAGCCTGTAAATATTTGCTGAACAAACGAACACACTGTTGTGAGAAGTCTGGTGTGTTGGCAACAGTGATTTGATTTTAAAAGGCAAACAGGCCTCCGCAGGAGACGAAACGGGAGACTCGCTCAGCCTCTTGGTGGAGAGAGGAGTGTTTCTGTCCATGACCCGGCCTCCACAAGTAAGCAGTGAACAGAAGGTTCTTAACTTCTTACTGTGGAGTCAGATGTGGCCTCCTTTTCAGTTCAACACAAGTTCACTCTTGCCCTGCGATGATTAGCGGAATTGAAATTTTGAAGCTCCGGATCTCAGTGATTTCCCAGAACAACCTCTCAAAACGGATCGCAGATTGAAATGTGTAATTAGCACTGACTGGGGTTTCCGATGAGGGCATGGAGGTGAAATGGCCCCTCTGGGCAATCGTTGGCCATTGGCCTTGTTTTTCACAGGTAATATGAACCCTTTAAAAAAGGTTGTCAAAGAGGACACTGTGTCATTTGTGGAGCAGAATAGATGTAAATTCACCATTGGTTCGTTCGGCCTGCTTGAAATGAAGTGTATTATGTTTGAGGGGGTTCTCTTTTTAGCTGTTAAAAATACTTTGTCACTTAAAGCCTGCAGTTTGATCTGTGATCCTTCTTCAAGTTCTTAAAAGTTGCTGTAGTTTCTCATGCCTGGAGTGCTTTCCCCTGCCCAGTGGAGGAGGAAAATCCTTGTAGAATTCAACAGTGTCACAAGAGTGTTCCCTACAAAAGCTGAAGCCGCCAGTTCCTCTTAAACAAGTTGGCTTCTTAAAAGCACCATAATTACAGTCTATTGGAGTTCTTTAAAGTGTTGCTCTGGGCATAATTTAAATTCTTTTTAATGACTAAACACCTTCAAAACTTTTAAATAAAAATACGCGTGTTCCCTTCTGTGCCATTCGGTAAGCATAATCGCTTTCTAGTCCACAAAGATCAAAAGATGACAGCGTATTATGGTGTTAGAAAATGATCCTTTAAAAAAGCACAAGAATCTTGAAAGCTCTGCAGTTTGATGGTTCTAACTGGTACATTTTATATTTCCACGTAAGTCGTTTGTCCAAGTTCTGCAGTCTCATCAAGCCGACTTCCCTTTAAGGAGGGATCAGAGGCTGCCCTGTCTGTAGATGAAGCTAAAACAATGTTTTGGTTTTGTACTGTCCCATCCACCTCAATAAAACTTCTCTCCATAATGGAAAAATGTGTCTTAATATTTTTGGTCTTTTCAGGGAAGATGTAACAGAAGATGAGTCCTGAAATGTCATGAGGCTGGTTCTCTCTGCTGGGTACATAGCATTCAGTGGGCGCCATGGTGCTTACTAACATCCAGCTGGCAGTAAGCAAAGGAAGAAAGTCCCTGGTTAAGGGCCTACAACCCTTGTAATTTCCAAAGGTGAAATCGCATGCCTTCTGATTGGGGATTGTCTGTCCGGGCTTGGCGGGGTGGGAACGGAAACAATATGCTGCTAAACACGGGTTGGCCTGCCTGCCTCTCTCAAGAGGGGGACTCCCTTGTATGTGCTCACTTAACACAATTTACTGCTGTAGGTAGGAAATCCCAGCCATCCAGAGCGGCGGTGCCTGGCTGAAAGTAATCCGTAAACACTGGCTGCAGCCCTCCTTGCCTCCTCCCACTCCCCAACTGTTTTCCTAGGGCAGCACCCCACAGAACCTTAGAAGTTGCACTCTGTTTCCATCATTCCAGAACAAATTGCCACAACCTTAACACCTCAAAGCAACACACCTTTATCATCTCACAGTTTTATGGGTCAGGGGTCTGGATGTGGCTGAGTTGGATCCTCTGCTCAGCTCAGGGTCTGAGAAGGCCGCAGCCAAGGTGTGGACCAGCTGCAGCCTCCTCTGGAGGCTTAGCTGGGGATGGAGCTGCTTCCAGGCCCCCTCGGGTTGCTAGCAGATTTTGTTTCCTTCTGTCTGACTGCTTCTCATTGCCTGTTGGCTGGAGGCCAGCTGCAGTTCCCTGCCATGTGGGTTTCTCCAACATGACTGCTCATGTCCTCAAGCCCAGAAGAGTTGTGTCTCACCTCAGGGAAGGCCCAACCCTTCCTTCAAGAGTTTGTACCTGAAGTCCTGCTACTCAGGATATTCTCCCTTTAGGTGAACTCAAAATCAGCTGCTTTGGGAGCTTCGTAACATCTGTGGAATCACTTCAGCTTTGCCATATTTTGTCGCCCAGAAGCAAAGTCACAGTTCCCATCCACACTTGGGGAGTGGGGGGAAACAACACAGGGCACAAACATCAGGGAATCCTGGGGCCGCCCAAAGAAGTTTTTCTAAATCCTAGCCTCTCTGTCTCTGAGCTTCTAGTATAACCTCCTCAACATCCTCCTCGGGCCTCAGTCCGTTCCCAGTGCTGACTCATCACTTCTCTCCTGAATTCCTCTTAGAGTCTTACCGTATAGAGCCATCTTCGACATTCCTGTTGGGACTCTTTAGACTACAAATCTGATCACTGCCAACCCTCCCTACCTCACTTCCACCATTTTAAATTCCTTTGGGACCTTTCCTGGCTTTGTGGATAAAGAACAGACTTGTGTCTGCCACAAAAGGCCCCACTTCGTGAGGCTCATCCCGTACCACCTAACAACCATGCCTCCCATCTCGGATGCAGCTCTGTGTACTGCTCCTTAGATGCCCCCCTCCTCCCTCCTCTCTCGGGTGCTCTTCCCTGCCCTGACCCCTCTTACCTTCCATTTGTTGGTGGGAATGTAAAATCACAGAGCCACTATGGAAAGCAGTACATCGGGGCCTCAAAAAATTAAGCAGAGAATTACCACCTGATCCAGCAGTTCGATTTCTGGGTTTGTATTCATCAACTGAGGCTGCCATAACAAAATGCCAGAGGCTGGTGGCTTACACAACAGAATTATTTTCTTAGGAGAAGGGAGACTTGGTATGGAGGCTAGAAATCCAAGGTGGGAGTTTCCAGCCAATTCACTGTCTGGTAAAAAACTCTCTTCGGCTTGCAGATAGCAGCCTTCTTGTTAGTCCACACATGCCTTTCCTTGGTGCGTGTGGTGATTGGGGGTAGGAGTAGGGGTTTCTTTTTTTTAAGATTTTTTTTTAAGATTTTTGTCTATTTATTTTAGAGAGTGGTAGAGAGTGGGTGGGGGAGGGGGAGGAGCAGAAGGAGAGAGAATTCTAGGCAGACTCCATGCTGAGAAAAAAATCCTTATGCAGGGCTCCATCCCTGGATCCTGAGATCATGACCTGAGCTGAAATCAAGAGTTGGACACTCAACCGACTGAGCCACCCAGGTGCCCCTCTCTTCCTCTTCTTCTAAGGCAACTAGTCCTATGGTGTTAGGACCCCACCCTTATGACCTCAGGTCTTCTCAAGACCTTATCTCCAAATACAGTCACCTTAGGGGTTATGGCTTCAACCTATGAATGGGGGGGGGGGCAGGCAGAGAACTATTTAGTCTGTGCATTCAAAGCACAGTGCATAAGACAGGCCACTGCTGTCAGCCTTCTGTGACCATATCAAGTGACCTCAAGGAGAAACCCAAAACAAGAAAACCAGAAAATCAGTTAAGCAGAGGGAGGCAAGCAATATTTCTGAAAACTCAGATATGACAGAAACAATGTATTAAGACAACCAGAATGTCTCTCACATGTCTGTGAAAATCAGTAAACTTTAATTTTTTTAACCAAATTATACTTTGTGACACGTAATCATACCTTGAGAGAATTGCTTGTGAGCACGCATATCCCTTCCTTCTTTGCATATGATCCCCTGTAAGCTAACAAGCTTCAGAGCAGTCCTTCAGAACTATCTGGAATACTGTCTCACAGGCTGTAGTCCTTACAAGACAAGAAATGAAGCCTTTACTAACGTACTTTGAGTTTGATTTTTTTTTTCAGTCCACAAGTCCAAGGTAGGGTACTTGCCTCAGAATTGAAGCTTTTTTTTTTTTTTTAGGAAAGTGGATCTTGAGGAGGTATTTGTACATCCGTGTTTATAGCACCATTATTTACAATAGCCAAAAGGTGGGAGCAACCAAAATGTCCATCAGCGAATGAACAATTAGAAGAAATGTACATACCCAGACCTTCCTTTCAAAAGGAAGGGAGTTCTGACACAGGCTTCAACATGGATGAACCTTGAAGACATCATGCAGTGAGGTTAAGTCAATCACAAAAAGACAAGTCTGTGTGAGGAACCTGGAGAGAGTGATTCACAGAGATGAAGTAGAATGGGGCCGGCCGGGGGCTGGGGAGGGGAGAAGAGTAGTTTGGTTTAAAGAGGACAGAGTTCAGTCTTGCAAAATGAAAGGGGTTCCCGAGATTGGTCACACAACAGTGGGAATACACTTATCACTACTGAACTGCACACTTAAGAATGGTGAAAGCAGTGACTGCTATGTCACATGCACTTTACCACAATAAGAAAATGCTCCGGATAGGCCGTAGGCAGCTCTCTGAGACCTCCCTCTGCCCTCTGCTCTTACACCCACCTCCCCCCCGCCCCCCCCCACCACCCTGCTCAGATGAGATGACAAACAGCCTCTGTCTCAGCCCCAGGCAGCACCCACCTTCTCCCTCCACAGAGGCAGCGCCTTCCCGTCCTTGTCCCTGAATCCGGGCACCTGGCCCACAGCCACGCCATTCTTTCTCCCTTCATCTCCTGAGAATGCCCAGTGTGGATGGGAGCATCAGCTGAGAAGGGACACTCCCCGGGCCCATCATTGGGCTCGCCACCACTCCCTCCAGTTTGCCCGATTCCTGTGGCCAAAGACAAGCATCCCCTGTTTCCTTCTCCCACTTCAGTGACTGAGGGCTTAACTGGGGCCTTTCTGAAACACTTCTAAAGAGCTTTCCCGGTGGGTGGTTTTTCCATTGGTGCCCATGCTAATTCACACCTGAGAGGCTCATTTCATTTTCCAGGGGCTCTAATATACACCACCTTATGCACCTCGGCATTCTGATTTGAAATGCTGATGGTGATGTAGTAAGAGGAGAACCATGACATCTTTTCTATAGTCACAGTCTTGGAGAGGCTTGGTGCTTCCCCTGCTCCCACTATACTGCCAACTCTCCCACCCACCACCCCCACCACACTCCCCGGCACCACCACCCAGAGGTGAGGACAGTGGGGGAAGGGGGGGAGAGACTGGGCTGGAGGCTGTACCCTTCCTGACAAAACCGAATTACAATAACTAAACAGAATGGAGAATGTGTTCACTCAAATCCTACCTCTTCCCCCTTCGAATAACATCAGTGTTCTGAGTTCTTCTTGAAAGTGAGCTGAAAGCAGGAGCACATAAATGCTCCTTGGTGGTACACCAGAGACTGCAGACCCCTCAAAGAAAGGAGAAAGCAAGTCAAATCCAATGAATGAAAGAAAAGCCAAAATACAATTTCCAAGAGCCCTGATTGTTTCAGTGTGGCTTTTCAGATGCAAGGAAAAGAGAAACCAAAGAAACTGAAATGCTATAAAAAATCACTTCCAAATCCAAACTGTGATTCACATGACCCTCAGGAAGCCGAGTCCAGCAGAATCCGAGCTTCCCTGGAAAATTCAGGAATGTAAGAGGGAACGTTCTGATGGTAATTTCAGAGGAAAAGATTTTAACATTCATCTCCTTTGCTTGTTTGGATACCAAAACTGCTTCAAAGGAAGCACTGTTAAGCACCGAGGCCCTTGAGGCTCTTTACCATCTCTTAAAGTACTTTATAAGTAATATCACCCTTGAGATCAGGGGAGTTCATTTAAGAAAAAAGTAATTATCCCAAACTATGGCTGCTGCAAAAGGGAGCAGAAAAGAGAGTGGCCTGGACAGGCTGTTCAATAGAATAAGATGAGAGCTGATGAGAGAACAAAGGCAAGGGAAATGTAGGTAAAATTAAATTTCCTTACAACTTGCAGTCCATTGACAAACACTTGAGGCAGGCCCAATATGACATTCCTGCAGGAACTCACAGCTGCCTTAATGGTAATGCTTTGCCAGAGACAAAAAGCAGCCTTAGCTTAACATTATTCAGCCCTCCAGGACTTAACGAATGAAAATATCTACCATTTACATGGACCTGGGTGGAACTGGAGGGTATTATGCTGAGTGAAGTAAGTCAATCAGAGAAGGACAATCATCGTATGGTTTCACTCCTATGGGGAATATAAAAAAAAGTTGTGAAAAGGGTTATAAGGGAAAGGAGGGGAACTGAGTGGGCAAAATCAGAGAGA